TTCCATCCCTGTTATTGCACAGATTTCCTTAATAATGGCTTCTGTTTTCAATGTGTTTTGAAATCTGTCTAGCACCCTGTAGACACACAGTCATCAAAGCTGAGAACTCAGATGCAGCCAGCTCTTCAGCAGTGGTTTGTGGTTTTTCTTTTTTCTTCCATGCTTGTTTTGTTTCTGTGTTTGCTTGCCATTTATCTTTTATCAACAGAGAAATTGATATTGTTTTTCAGTGGAAAAAATATTTCTTCTGCTGTTGATTTTAAAAGAATTTACACTTTTAGCTAGACAGTTTGTCAGTGTAGTTCTTACTAAACATTAGTCATTAATATTACTACATCTCTGAAATCGTAAGACAGCCTGTAAGTTTAGAGATAGTTTAAAGAACATGTTGTTCTGGTCACTTTGCTTGATAACAGTAGAACTGCTGATCTCTGTCTCCACACAAAGACAAACACCAGCTTGGTGCTTGTTCTCCAGGACACCTGTCCAGCAGGAGAGTGGGTGTCCTCCTTAGTAATGCAAAGGCAGCCGTATTCATCATACCTCCCTTCAAGATTTGACAACTTGGATCAGGATCAAGGCACTGCTGCTGTGTACCTGGTACTCTTCCATACAGGGGACATTCCCCAACTAGATGGGGTTGAATTAACTATTGTTTAAAATAGGTCATACCTGTTTATTTTCTTTCTTGTTTTCAGTTGTATTGTCAGGAGGTAGAGAGATAATACACAGAGCAGCCTGGTAATGGCATGCTCTTCTTTTGGTTTCTTTTAATCTGCAGTAAGACAATAACTGGTAAACAAGCTTTGGTTGCTGTGAGAAAGACCACTGCAATTTTTTTTGACTTAATGCCTTGTCATCATGATCACATTTTAGGCAGCTGTCTATGAAGATTATGTAAGTGGAGTGTGTTTTGCACGAGCATATGCGTGTGTTTGAGGAGGCGATGACAGAAAATAAGACAAAAACACTGTTCATGGAGCATGAGTTATACAGGCTAGTACTTATTTTGAATTGTCCTTTCTAAAATATATTGTACTTGGAGATTAATTTATGCTTTTTAATAGACTTCAGTGAAAATGCACACAGATCATGCATTTGCTAAAATTTTAAGTATCCACTTAAACTCATAGGCTGTAAAAAATAATGTAATGAAATACAGCAAAAGCTGTATTCAGATGGGTAGGTGCTATGTACACGTATAGACATCATACTCAAGGGGGAAAATAACTCTTCAGAAGTGTTCCACAGTGCCTGAATATTGGATAGAGTCTATGGCCTACTTCTGAGTC